TAATATAGGGATAAGAAAAAGGCAGAGTCTAGAAAGATACAAATTAATTACAAAATTAGACATAATTTCGTCTCTAATTTTGTGATTAATTTCTATGGAAGTAGTCGAACTGTTTGTGATTTGTACAAAGACAACCATTGAAACATTTCAGGTATCCCAAAAACAAATTTTGAAAAGCATTTAGAATTTAAAATTTATGAATCAATAAAATTTAAATTTTCACCCTAAATTTTCTTGTTGGGGTTTTTTCCTAAGCTTATTTTGATAATCTGAATTATTCATATAGAGTTTGTTGAAATTATCATTTATGAAAAAAAATTAGATTATATAGTCAATTATTAATTATTTTCAAAAAATATCAAATTCATACTAATCATTTATTTATTGGGGAATTTTTTTAAGGTCCATGGTATTAATATTTTATAGGATAAAGGACATGCAATATTTTTGTAATCGTTGGGGTCCCTTAACATTTTTCTAGAGAAATTTCAATTTAGAGAAATTTCAAAATCAGAAAAATTTCGCTGAGTGTGTTTGTTTGTTCATATTTGAAACTTCTCTGGACACATCAGAAAATTCATACAGCCAGAAAAAATTCACAGGCAGAGAAAATTCATACAACTAGAGAAAATTCACACAGCTAGAGAAAATTCACAGCTAAAGAAAACTCATACAATCAGAGAAAATTTGCAACCAAAGAAAATTTATACAGTCAGAGAAAATTCAAACAGTTAGAGAAAATTCACAAAATTACAAACAATGGTCACAACCAGAGAACATTCACACAGTTCCCACATCTAGAGAAAATTCACACAATCGAGAGAAAATTCAATTTGATTCCTAAGCTGTGTTGTCGATGGAATCGGCACTGTCCATCCGGACCACATCTCCATATCCCATATCGATGACATTGACGATTCCTCCAACAAACTCACCATAAAAGTTGTTGCCTTTTGTCTCCTAGAACCAATGCTTCATGCAGTTCGATATCACTGTTGACAGTGGCGTTGTGTGGTGTTTCTCTTTATCACCGTTTGTTGCTTCTGTTACCATTCTTCTTCTTCTTCTTCAAACCTCAATTTGCTGTTAATTCTGGTGAGTTTAGCGCTTTTGGGACCCGACCACTGTTGTAGATTTAACTGTTGTTGCTCTGGTTTGTATATGTATATATTTGTTCTTGGTGGGTTTGAAAGATAATTCGATGAATATTTGATTTCATGATTCAAATTTTGAAGATTTATATAGGGTTTTCAATGGAGGAAGATGAATTTTCTGATCAAGTTTTAGAAAAGTGAGAGATTTGGTGCGAAAAGAGAGATGAGAGAGAATGAGAGAGTGTGTGTTATATATGGGTGTGGATGAGGGACCTTGGGTTACAAAAAAAAAATATTGTGAATCTCTCATATTACTAAAAGTTGGAGATGGGTGTTAGATCAATTTTTTCTTATTTTTTTTACACAAATATCTTCTTACTATAATATTACAGATGTCTAATTAATTTGATTATTTTTCATAAATAATCTATTCAACGAATTTTACAATGTAAACGATTTGAATCTATCAAAATATATTTAGGACAAACCTACATGGACTATATTTATAAGGGCAAATTACATTGACCTCCCTTGAGGTTTACCTTAATTACAGGGACCTCCCATGTACTTTCAAAAATAACATTAACCTCTCCAACTTTTGAAAATAATACGCAGATTTCCCCTTCTCGTTAAAAGAACATGAACGACATTAACTTGACAACTGAATTGACCATAATACCCTTGAACCATATTGTGAAAGGACACAACTAACTCTTCAACCCCCATTCTCTTTCTCTCAGCTTGGCAGTTCCCTTCTCTCAGCTTGGCAGTTCTCTTCAATCCTCAACCCAATTCTTCAGTCTTTTTAGTTAATTTTAGTTGAATCCCAAACACAACATACACATATAGAGAGAGAGAGAGAGAAAGAGCTTTAGAGAGAGATGGAGATTAAGGAGTAGACAAATTGAAAGGAAGAAGGTGGTACGAAACCCTAACCCTTAGTAAAGTGCGGCATAGTAGTGGAGCTTGGTGAGAAAGTGCAGCTCACGAGGAATCGGAGCTGCTGTACAAGAAGTAGCGACGACGCTGCAAGAGAGACGACGAAAAGAGAAGAGTGAAGAGAAGGGAAGAGAGAGAGAGAGAGAAAAAAAAAAAAAGTCACCCCTGTCCCGTCGTCGGTCGCGCTGTCAGACTCCATCATCATTAGTTGATCAATGTCCTCTGTCACACTAGCATCTTCAATCGCGCCGCCGCCGTAGAATCGCGGCCAGAGTAAGGGAGTAGTGGTAAGGTCAGTGTCGTGCATCGGAGCTTGAAAGAGAATATGATGCTGAGTGGCTTCAAGAGGTTCTTGATGGGGACGAGATCTAGGGTTTGGTGGTCATTCACGGCGATGATGTTGTCAGTGTTGCCGCTCTTCACGGTGGTATCTTACTGTTGTGACACCACCTTACTCTCTAAATTTCTATCTCTCTCTAAATCTCTCTCTTTCTATATATATATATATATTTGTTGTGTTTGTGTTTGGTACTTAAATGAGATCTTGGTTTTTGATCTGTTTGTTCTTTGATAAGTTGAATCTCTCTCTCTCTTTGTTCAAGTTTTTTTTTTTTTTTGGTGATTGTGTTGTTAGATTTTGTGATTGTGTTTTTGTGATTATGTTGAAATTGTGTTGTCATCCTCCGTCGAAGCAGCGGAGGAGGACGACGGCAGCCCTTACGTTCCAGTCGGCAGTCCAAAGGCAACCCTGCCGAAGAGCTTACCACCGCTCGCGATAGACGTCGATCAGAGCTAGGGTTTAGGGTAGAGCACAGAGAGAGAATGAGAGAGAAGAGAGATGGAATGTATATGTTATATATATATATAGGTAAATTACACTTACATCCCCTGAAGGATAGTATTGAAATTAAAAAAATAATTATGGATGACATCAGTATAATCTATTTGAATTTGGACGGATGGATAACAGAGGAGGTCTTTGTATATTAGTTTCAAAAGTAAGGAAGATTTGTGTTATTTTTGAAACTATAGGAGAGATATCTGTAATTAAGACAAATCTATCTCAGGAGAGGCTAGTGTAGTTTACCCTATTTATAAAAACATTAAAAATTTTGAATTTATTTTATTAGAAAATTAAAATATTAACAGTGTGTTTGGTTTGAGTTTTTTGGATTAAGTTTTTTGAAAATTGAGTTTTTTGGTTTTTGTATTTTTTGTTTTTAGTGAATATTTTTAAAATTTTAAACATTTTTTTTTTACTTTTTTATATATACCTTATTTAGATGTATCTAAAAAATAAAAAAATTGTGAAAAAATATTTTTTAAAATTAATAAATACATAAAAATATAAAAAATATATTGAATTCTCGTATTTTTTTTTTTATATTTTTGGTATTTAGTGAATTTTTAAAAGGTTTCTTTCACAATTTTTTTACTTTTTAGGTATATTTATGTTAGGTATGTCTAAAAAGTAAAAAAAAAAAATTGCTTAAAATATTAAAAATTCAGTAAAAACAAAAGAATACGGAAAATAAGAAAGTAGAATTTTCTGAAAAGAGTTTTTGGAAAACTCTAACCAAACATTTTTTTTTTTTTTTTTTTTTTGGGGGGGGGGGGGCGGTGGTTTAGTCAAAAACGAAGCTATCTTTCCTCCTTTCAAAAGGAACTCCGGTCGGCTTGAGCTGCTGGGAAGTTCTCTGTATCCGACCGGTCAACACTTTTGCACTTTTATTTATACCTAGAATGTCGATAATATTAGATATAAAAGAGTAATTTTATGGAAAAATTATAAATAGATGTGACAGTTATAAAATAATTAGTAATATAAATGAATTTTTTTTAGTGCAACTCTGACACATATGAAGAGTTGCAACAAGTATATGAATAAATTTGTACTTTGTATATAAGAGAGTTGTACCATTATAAAAATATAATTTTTTTATTACTTGTCCACTAAGATGCCATCTTTCCTAATTTTATTCTAACTTTGATCATTTTTCAAACTCAATGATTATAGTCTGTTAGAATATTTATAGTAATTCTCTTTTTTATATCTTTTCTAATTATCATCCAATCATCTATTTTACATATTACTTAATCTAGAAAGTGAGTTTAAAAAATGAACTTATATATCATTTTTGCAACAATTAGAAAAAAATTCAAATTTAAGTCTTGTAACAAAATTTATTGATTGAATCCCTAGTATTTTGATTTGTTTTTAATTTAAATTATTAAACTATATTCATTAAGTAAAATTGATGAAAAATATAGTATTTTAGTCATTAAACTTAATGTAGATATACATAAAATGTCTAAAATACTATTTTTATTTAGTTTAATGATTAAAATATTAATTTTTTTGTTGATTTTACTAAATGAAAATAGATAAATAATTTAGATTGAAAACAAATAAAAAATTTAGATTTTAATTTGATACAATTAAAAATTTAGGATTTATTTTGTTATAAGATTCAAACCTTGATTATTATTTTTTTTTATAGTTTTCTGATCATTTTTGTTTGTATAAACAGTTACAATTTTTTACAAAGTAATAGAGAGACGTGGTTTTTTTTTTTATAAATAAAGTGATTTATATTTAAAATCATATTTATTGTTTATTTAAAAAAACATATATGTTCTTATGATTATTAAATTATTTTAATTTATTGCAAAGAAGACTTGCGCAAAATGAATTAATCAAACAATTGAAATGACGGCCCAAACACATTATTGTAATCCACAACTGGAGACAAGCCGTAAACGATGGTCTTTATTTATCAGAAGTAATATTTGTGTTCGAGTTTTACAAGAAATATACAATGAAAAAAAAGTAAAACAATTGGAAGTTATAATTCGCAGCAATACTAGGTATCATGAAAAAATTTTCATAAAAATAATCATGAAAATTTTGTAACTCTTGAATTACACTTAGAATAAAACATCAGATACTAATCAAAATAATCTAAGGATCATAAATATTTCATGGTCGTTTTTATGAAAAAATTCTCATGAATTGTCTATAATTTGTGTATGTCAAATGACAATTGAGCCGGCAAAATTTCGCCCAAGCAAAAAGTTGACAAAAGAACTGTACTTTACAATACACAAAAGTTTTTATCTTCAATATTTATCTTAATAATACATATTATTATTTCAAGTACTCTTTCTTCTATCAAATGAAAAATCTTTATGTCCTATATTTATCTCATGTTGTTGAACACGCTCACTCTCGGTTTGTGGTTGTTGAGCCACTTGGCTCAATCTTGCCACCTCATCATCGTGTTCCACGTAACCAAGTTCAATACGGTATTGGTGGTGTGACGATGATCCATCATCGCCATCCCGGCGATCGTGGTGGTGATGGGAGGGCGAGTTGGGAGAGTCCTCGGTCTCCCAATGTTCCTCCACATCAAAATTTGTTCTCCTTGGTGATGCTTGAAGACTACTATCCATCTCTGCCTTGTAGTGGCGGAGGAGGTGGACCGGGGAGGTGTGGTGGGATGGTGTTGCTGGGCGGCTCGACATAGGGGTGGCTTGGCCGGATTGTTGGTTATGCTTGATATGTTTCTTGGCGGAGTGGTGCCAGTTTCGGAGAGCAATTGCTACTCTTTCGTTGAATATTGTTGGCTTCATTGTCGAACCCATCTGTGTTCATACCATGATCTTATAAGTTTGAGTCTTTGTTGTCAATAACTAGACATAAAACAATTTATAACAATTTCTTTTTAATGTGATTACTTTACCCTTGATTTATATTCAATTTCCTAACCAATATTACTAATTAAATTGAAATGATACAATGTGAAAAATTGAATTACAAAATTTAAATAATTGAACTAGATTGATACCATACGGTGTGCTTTTTTAATTCATAAATTCGTACCTGTGTTACAAGAGCGTAGAGAGGGAGAGTGACATAGCTGCAGAGAATTTGTGTGATAATCCTGATAGATCAAATCACGACCAGTCAAACATGTTAGATATCAAAAGATCATCCTAATTAAACAATTTCGATGATATAAGTATTAAACAATCGAAGGGTGAGGAAACTAATGAGACTCACCCCATTGAGAGTCTGATGATCACGTCCTCCAATTTTTCATGGAAACAAGACTTGATTTTAAATTCATACTGAAAAAAATAAAAATAAAGGGAAGCTATATAGATTAATCATATTGTAATAGTGAAAACTTGTAAATGGAATATTATATTTCTCACTAATTTATAAGAAAAATTTATATATATGCTATTTAAAATGAAATTTTAGATCCAAATTTAGCACCCAGTCCAAATGTGTGGATTCCTTTGTGTCAAATAATATGTCTAGGAGAATCCACATAATGTGTGATTTACATTTGAAAAATATAATTTATGAGATATATGTGTCATATTCCGTCCTAATATTGTTATATATCAAAAAAAGAGAAAAGTTTGAGTCTTTAACACATTAGTCAATTCCCACTTTCGACTTAATAATTCCGCTAACTTATCATTTTCCATTTATTTAATTAGTATAATTTATTTATTTATTTATTATAATTATTATTATTATTTTGGTATTTTTTTTTGTATAGTAGTTGAATAGGAGAGGTTGGGGCCTTACCAAAGTCCATGTCAAGAAGGCAAGCTGAAATGCATTCTGCAAAATCGGTGGGCCAAACAAAGAAACCACATATGATCAACATCATGTAAAAGATGGGCCATGCTCTATTAAATCTATATATATGTACACCAGAGAGAGATAGAGAGAGAGAGAAGTGGGGGACCTGAAAGAGAACGAAGTTGATGAGGAAGAGAACGAGACGAGGACTGTTGAACCAGAAAAGGTGATCACCAGGCTCCACCACCGGGACTCCCCTCACTATCTCACCTCTCTCTTCTATTCTTTTTCCCATCTTTGTTATTATCACCTGCAGCTTCGTCCCCACCATTAGAATTATCTGCATCCAATTCCATCATGCACCCATCATTATCAGTATCGATCCCATTTGCGGACTCCACAAAAAAATTAATATAAAACAATATGATCAAGAAAATTACTATATAAACCCCACCACAACTAACAACTTAAAAAAAAAAAATGATATGTTGTGGGTATAGAGAATATTTGCTTACAATAAAGGGGATAAATGGTAGCCACAGATAGGAATACCAGCCTGTCCACAGTTCATTAGAAAAACATCTTCATTAGTCAAAGAAATACAATAGAAAGAGTTGTTCACAAAGAATTCTACCTTATGCTATACATGCATTTCAAGAAAAACTATACAATAGTCCCGGAACAAAAAATTATACAATAATCACATTTCAAACGCTATTATACTTATGGCTCATGGAACAAGAAAAAATAATAATAATAATAATAAAATAAAATTATGGAAATAATTTTTTTTTGATGATATGTGCATAAAAATGTGAAGGGAAAAGTGCACAAAAAATTAATGTGTAGAGCAAAATTTATTATGGGTATTGTGAGGATTACTTTCAAAATGAATTTGAATTTCACAATAATTTACTGTGATTTTTTTCTTTTTCTTTCCTAGTAGTCGTAAAGTGGAAGTGTCACGCTGTACTAAATATTTAATTTAAACGAATTTATACTTTGGTGAATTAAGTAACTAATTTATCAAACTCAATCGACATAAATGATTATGGACTAGTACTCACCATGGGTGTTGAAGAGTAGGAATATCACAGCAAAGAACCAGATTGGTGGACTGATGCCCACAACCACCTTGAAATCCTCTTCTAGTGATCTTTTGACGTACTTCTGGAAATCAAATCTTGTATGGCTTTGTGGTGACAAGTGTGCCTTAAAAATACAATACAAAAGCATTAGTGAAATCTAAAATTTCTTAAAAGGGAAAATATTCACAAATAATTTTTTCTTTTCTTTTGTCCAAAATAATGTGCCAAGAACATTTGTTAAATTACGACTCATGATAGTTAGTGTGTTAGTTTGAAACAAAATCACTACGAAAAATCAAGCCGTTGTGTAAGATAATTATGTACAAAAAATTGTGCTTAGAAATAAATTATATTATGTTGGTGTGTGTGTGAGAGAAAAGATGAACTTACCATGATGAATCCATGTCGCAGGGTCAAGTAATCAACTTTTGGAACCGATCTTACAAATTGCCTGAAGAAACACACCTGAAACCAATCCAAAAACTAGTGTCAATTATTAGAAATAAATTTTTTGGGGGGCACTTAACAATTACTTAACTGTCCGTGTTAATAAATTTGAAATTATTATTTAAGAAACTTATAAAGTAATATTCTTGTTGCAATCATTAAAAAAACTCGTGCATTAATGATCACAAGGATAAAATCGTTATTTTAAATTTCACAAAACAAAGTCAAGGTGCACGGAGGAGACCAAGCAATGTAACGCAATATCGTTATTTTAAAATTTCTTCGTAATGACTGACTTTCTCTCAAGAGGGGCATGCATGGTACGACCGTTATTTCCATTTTCAACTTTTGGTACGTCCAGAATACCGTTTCTCAATTTAATAATATGCATCAAATCTATGAAGAAGACAAAAAATTAATAATACACATGTGCTTTTTTTTTTCTTTCTTTTTTACATAAATTCAACACTAGCTTTCCAGATTTTTCAACAATTTTCAAGCCTTCTAGTAATATATGGAATACTAAACGATGTAATATATAAAATCAACAGGTATCATGAAAATTTTTTTATAAAAATAATCATAAAAGTTTTGTGACCTTTGGATTACAGTTAGAATAAAGCACCACACACTAATTAAGGTAATCCAAGGATCATAAATCTTTCATGATCATTTTCATGAAAAAAATTTCATAATCCCTAACTTTTATCGTATAAAATAAGCAAATTCTTCATTAAATTCCTATTACTTTTGTCAGGACAAAAGAAAATAATAATAACAATATTCAAACTTTTCTTTTCACTTGCAAACATTTCTCAAATAAAATAATAGAGAGAAATAGACCTGTAAATGAAGAATATGATTAATTAAAAAACGGGTGACTTACAATCCAAATAAGAATTGGTGAATTGGTCCAGAACCTCAAGTGCCTTCTCCCAAATGAAGTCTCTCTTGCAAATCTGAATCTCTCTGGATCTGCATCACACACATATACACAACAACTCATCACCAAAAAAAAAAAAAAAAACTTGTAATGCAACATTCATTGACATTTATATATATATATCACACACATATACAAAACATCTCATCACCAAAAAAAAAAAAAAACTTGTAATGCAACATTCATTGACATTTATATATATATATATGTGTGTGTGTGTGTGTTTTAAATAGTGATATCGGAATACAAATTTGTTTCAGTGTAACAATATCAAAAGTATAGAGTAATACAAATCAAGAGTCAAGTACTAGTCGCAAATTATTTTTTTTTAGAGTAGATTGAAATGGTTTTATCAACTATTAACAAGGCGTATTGTCTGTGAATAGATTATAAATTTATGGAGTGTTTTGAAAAATTAATAAAAAATTGACTTTTTTAATTAAAAAAGTTAAAAAGATAAAAAATTAACTTTTTTTTAACCTGTTGCCAAAAGAGAACGCAACCAATAGGCATGTAACTTTTATTCCCATGGGTATAGTCGAGTGTATCGATGATATAAAAAAATAAAATAAAATAAAAAAACCCAAACCAATATTTAATATCATTAGATGCATTAATGCATGCATAGATAATTCGTTTGTATGATTGCTAGTGTTTGAGCATTGACCAAACCAAACCAAACCAATATGTCTGAGCATTGAACATTGCTAGTGTTTTGAGAATTTGGCTTTTAGTTACGTTTTTTAAGTTTGTAACAAAAGTTAAAAGTTAACCTTTTTGTATTTAAAGGCATTTGAGAAGTTAATTTTCAGCCACCGGTGAAATTACAATTCTATCCCTCATGAGTTAAAATGTGTTACATGAATGAAATTGTAAATATTTTAAATCGAATAAGATAGTTTGATTATTTTATTGTGATTTGACATCATAAACAAATATTATTCAAAAAAGTCAAAAATAATTTTTTACTAACTTTCCAAATCACTTGTCTAAAAAAGGTCAAAAATTTAGTTAAAAGTCAAAAAAATATTTTTTACCATCTTTTCAAAATATGCCATAAATCACCGGGTTCACCGAATGCAGAAATTTGGACTTACCATGTGAGAACTCGTACTCAAGTGTTCTTGTTTCCTTTTCCCATTTCTTCCAACTTCTCATCTACAAACCCAACAAACACACTCAATATAACATAGAACATATATATATATATAGAGAGAGAGGGGGGGGAGATGGATATGTGGTTGACATACCTTGGCTCTACCCAAAGCCAAAGTGAGAATACAGTAAAGGACATGAACAACAGCCAACACAAAGATGAAGATGTGGAGTTGGTGAATCCCATCAGCAGACACAAATGGCACTTTATTCTGCAAATAAAATAAAATAAAATCATCACATCTTAACTTACCTTGTTTTGCATTGCATGCACTAAACTATCACAGAAATAAAAAGATATGTAGTCAAGCAAACTGTTTCTAAAAAATATTTTAAATGACACCCATTTTTCAGAAAACATCAACAACACATAAAAAAAAAAAATAATAAATAAATTAAAATTTTGAATGCTTGAACAAAAACTGAAAATTTATGAAAGGTCGACAGATAGAAGTTTTTTAATTTTTTAATTTTTTTTGTAATTTAAAACACATAAAACTAAAATACAATCAAACATGTCATGCCTTGAGCGCGCATTTATCGGTAGTAGCAGTCGCAAGTACACGTCGGAAACTTCCTTCAGAGTTTGTCATTTCTAGAAGCTTCCGACGATTTTGTTCTTTATTGGTTACAACATAGTGGTTTAGTTTGGCCATTTCTTGCTTATTACTACATGGATGCCACGTGGCACCCACACTCGCTGGTATGCATATATCCGAAATGGGACCTTGTAATACTGTTAGAAGCAAAGATATAAACCCCAGCAACATAAGCTCTGCACCCATAATATCAAATATTAGCTTAATACATGTACAGTTTTTTTTTTTTTCATGCAATAAGAAAAGAAAATACATGAACTAAATTGATAGAGATATGTATAATGTATAGTTCAAAGATTGTACCTGATTTGATCTTTTCAAGTGCTTCATAAAGAGCTGTCTTGTGTTTTTTCTTCAACCACTGTAGATGGTGAAAGAATTTCAATGAAGGTCACTCTAAGGCCAAGTTTGGGAAGACTAAATAAGTGCACTTTTTGTTTTTTTGGACTAAAAAATTGAGGTTGAAAATATGGATGTTTGGGTTAACTTTTTGACTTTTTATTGAAAAATGTGTAATAAAAAATTGTAAAAATTGATTTGTAGGGAAAAATTTGAATTGGGAGTTGTGCAGCCGTAATTGTTGACTTTTGGTGAATAGTGTTAACTTTTTAACTTTTTAAGTAACTTTTTGACTTTTTAACTTTTTGGGAACATCCCAAACTTGGCCTAAAATTCATGAGAAGGTATTTTATGTAAAACGTCCTGTCATGACTAACAAATACGTCACCTTTTGAAACCTTCTAGTCCATCTATTAATTTTATAAGATTTTGTTAACCTGTCTCCTTCCAAACATATTTTAAAAAATTATACATTTTTACATATAATAAAGATTATGTATAATTTTTTTTTAACGGTAAACTATCCATAGGTCTTAATAATTAGATTTAATTCTCATCAATTCCTATTGAAAATAAGTTCTAATAAAATCGTCGCTAAAAATAAAATTTTTTTGCATATATTGCTAAAAATTGATAATTAGTGACTTTTTTGGTCACGATTTTTATAAATTGTTACTAAAATTTACAATTAGTAACTTTTTTGGTGACAAATTTTTTAAATTATTGCTGAAAGTGAAAAATTAATGACTTTTTTTAAACTGTTACTAAAACATATAATTATTGATATTTTTTGTAATAAATTTTTTAAATTGTAATTAAAAATTAATAATTACTGATATTTTTTAATAATATTTTAATAACAAATGTCATTAATTATCATAGTATTTATTAAATAATAAATTTATGTTAAAAATTACATATATGTCTTCCTTTTTTTTTTTTTTTTTTATAAATATGTATACATTAAAAACATAAACTAACAAGATTCACGATTATGTATTAGTAGGTACCTGTCCTATAAGATGGATGATGTGCTCTATGACAATTGAAATTCCAACCAAAACAAAACAAACCACCGCAACGGCCCACGTCGGAGTTTCTTCCAAGGAAGTTCCGATACTTCCCCCCGCCATGGTTCGCCGCTGCTACTCGGCTGGAATGTTCTAGATCTCTTGCTGTGACTGAGAAAAATTTCTTAGAGTTCAAGAAATGAAAGGTGATTACTAATGCTTTATAATCACATAAACATATACATGTAGACACAGAGAGAGAGAGAGAGAGAGAGAGAGAGAGAGAGTTTGGAGAGAGAGAGAAGGGGAAGAAGGTATATATATAGATAGAGAGAGATGAAAGTGTTTATGAGGATAGAAGGGTAGAATGGAGAAGGGGATGAAGACTTTTGACTTCAGAGACGCGTAAGATAGATAGGAAGATAGACGTATCAAAGAGATTGACTATGTTCTCAAAAAAAAAAAAAAAAAAAAGACTGACTATGCATCAAACTCAATCTTTTGACTGATCAAAATTCATTTATTTTTATATTATATTATATATAGATTTGTTTGACTTTTTGTATGTATTTTGTGCACATTTCTTTCGACTTATTATTCCAATGTTGTGAATTTGGTTTTGTCTCGTTCATCATCTGACAACATTAAAGCAAACATTATCATAATTAAATTTACTTACAATCTGATGATATGTCATCACTATTTTCACTTCCTATGTATTAAATACTACCACTTGTAAATGTCTCTTTAAATAATAAATAAATTTCATACAAAAAAAATTAATTATCTTAACAGGTGAATTACATTTGTGATATCTTGTATTGTTTTTCATGTGTTAATTCTAATTGTATCAATTTTATTTTTGAAATTTTCATATTGTATTAATTTAATTTAATTGATAATATATTTAAGTTTCTACGAAAATCAAGACCAAATTGATTGAATTAATGTCAGAGCAAAACTCCATATACAATGGTCCAACACATGAATTGATAGCACCTAAAAAGTTTCAAACCTAAGACTTAGAGAAGAGTAAATTCCCAAGTCCCAAGCCTACGCTACTAGGCTAACCAATAAACGTTCACTATGATGAAAGTTGCTTGAATATTTTACCTATTAATTAGACTAAGGCTAGGTTTGGCGTCTCCTAAAAAAGTCAAAAAGTCACTATCTTATTTAAATCATATCATCTTATTTAAGTCACATCACTTTTCTACCACATCACTTCAAACATAACCCATATTTCATAAAAAGTCAAAAAATACATTTATTTAGAACATTTCAAACAACCCCTAAATTAACACAATATAAAATATTCAGGCAAAATTAATACAATTAAAATTACATAAATTAAATACTAAATTGACCCAAAAAAAGAACTACAAAAAAAAAAAAAAAGGTATAATTTATTGTCTTTTAATAAAGAAGACTTGAACCCATTTTCGTTATATTTATAAATTTATCTTCCACCTATTAAAAAAAGGATAAATTACACCAACATCCCTTAAGGTTTGTTATTAATACAGATTCCCGCTTGAAGTTTTGGAAATTACAATGCTCTCCTTGTCAGATTTTGTTGGCTAACATCCTTAACAAAAAAATTGAAATGGCTGTATTATCCTTCCATGTCATCTCCTCTATATTGCATCACAACTTGATGTAAAACAACAATTGTTGAGATTGCTTTCATGTGGATGTGTTGACAGAGATCATCAATATTGTGAATAAGAATCTAATCTTGCAACCCCCTCAACCCATAACAACTTGCCACTATGCATCACTACAATATTTCAAACTCTGACAACAACCTCACTTCTCAACCCATAGCAAGTGGGCACTATACATCACCACAATATTTCAAACTCTTACAACAACCTCACTTCTCAACCCATAGCAAGTGGCCACTCTGCATCACTACAATATTTCAAACTCTTACAACAACCTCACTTCTCAACCCATAGCAAGTGGCCACTATGCATCACTGCAATATTTCAAACTCTTGCAACAACCTCACCAACTACCACAATTCGTCCGACTCTCTGCCAAGCCCTAGATAGTAATATAATTCAACCCCCAAAAAACAGAACAAAAATACAGACAATTGCGTTCAGGAATTCCTTCAAATACATGGTATGCACCTACACCACTTACCCCCAAACAATAATACATAAAATCCTGAGCCCTATGATCAATCAAACAATAAATAAATAAAATCAAAAACACAAAAACAAAAACAAAAAAATCAGGTATAGCAACTTCTAAATGATATCATTCTTCTGTATTTATTAATTGTTTATTTATATATTTTACATAAGCCTTATCATCAATCCATGCAAGCATGCTTTTGGACCCAACTTCTGAAATTCACATGACTTTGAACATGAGCTTGTTGAACCAGTGTTATGTTGTTATCTAAAATTAGAGAAGCTCAATTAATGAATTCTTTAATAAAATTCAAAACAGCAACAACACATTGGGAGTTCATCTAGTGAATGCTGTGGAATCCAATATTGAGAGAGAGGGTGGTGATGGTGATGAGAGCTGTTAGAATATATAATATATTATGTTAGTATAATATTATGTATATTATTATGTTTAGCTTTAGCTTTAATAATTAGTGTAACTTTAGCTTTCATAATTAGCTTGCTTTAGCTTTATGCTTTCGGTGGCTCTCTCTCCAATGTATCACAGGCTATAAGAAGAGAGTTAGGCTCCCTTGTAAATCAATCCATGAAATACACTTTTCATTTATTCACTTGTTCTCTCTCTATCAATTTTATCTTACATGGTATCAGAGCTAGGTTAAGAACCTAGTATTTTCGTCCCACCGGCGGGCGGCAATCTCGCCTTGGCCGCCCGCCGGACAAACCCAAATTTCCCTAAATTCTTCTTCAATGGCAGATTCTTCAACAACACTTCACCACCGCAGCACCAGATCCGATCACAACCGTTGGATCCCACTTTTTCTCTCATCAATCCAAACCCTTCTCTGGACCCTTCTCTGTACCCTCGGATTACCTTTCTTTGTGCTATCATACTCTTCTCTCCCTCGGTGCATGGAGGAGCATTCTTGAGCTGAGCCAAAAAAAAAAAAAAAAAAAAAAGAAGAAAGCAGAAGAAAAACAGGTGAGGGAAAAAAATAATTAAGAGATAAAGAAGGACCTTGAAGGATGGAAAGAAAGACTGAGGGATTAATCTTAAGGTAAATTATATTATATCTTGAGTCGTTATAATATATTTTACGTATGTTTTAAGTTATCATAATTTATTTTATGTAATTTATATTTTATAAATTATATTAATATTTTGATTACGTTAATTATTTTTTGAATTCTATTTACTTAAATTGAAACCGATGGATATATTTGTTTACATTTTAAAAATTATTTGACAATGATTTTATAAACAATTATATTTTGTAAGTACCACCACGGGAGTCCCATGTTTTGGGAACTTAAATTACCATTAGCTTCTGTTTGGTCACTTTGTGGCCCTTTATTGTCACGGATCCATTGACCTCTGTTCTGTACCGTGATTATGATTATTTTATTTACATGATCTATGTATTATATGTTTGTTATTCAAGATGATGTTCGTATTATATATTCTGTACTTTAACATCAAGCTCTGTTTAGCCCAATAATTATCCATGATGATTTTTATGCACTTATACTCTTAGCATAATATTTTTCATTCTACCATGTACTTATAGTTGTTAACCACTTTCAGGTAATGTGTCAAGTTCTTCGCATGAGGTAGGCACAAGGCACTTTATAATTATAATCTAGGCTCGGGAAATGAAACTAACTAGAAGCTCTAATATATATGTTCTGTTATTAGTGAATAAAATTTTGGGTATCCTCCAATGCATTATTAATTTGTTATGACTTCAATTATTGTCTTGTTGTGACGCCGAACCTTCCGACAATCGACGTGTTTATCTGCATGGCGGACCCGAATAAAGAGCCGACTGTGGACACTACAAGGAAAAGCAGTTTTGGCGACTAAAAACCAAATTTTCGTCGCTGAAAGTAGCACAATTGGCGACTAAAATGAAATTAGTAGCCAAAAGTGAAGACTAAAGTGAAGACTTTTGGCGACTAAAAGAGTTTAGTAGCCAAATGTATAGTTCTTGGCGACTAAAAACAGATTTAGTCGCCGAATGTATGGGTTTTAGCGACGAAAGGTTTTTTAGTAGCCAAAAGTGATGGTTTTTGGCGACTAAAAAACAGTTTGGTCGCCGATTCTACGTGTTTTGGCGACTAAATAAACTGTCCCGACATTGATTCCGGTCAGCTTTTACATCGGTCCGGCATGACCCCGTAAACTGTCCCGACATTGATTCCGGTCAGCTTTTACATCGGTCCGGCATGACCCCGTAAACTGTCCCGACATTGATTCCGGTCAGCTTTTACATCGGTCCGGCATGACCCCGTAAACTGTCCCGACATTGATTCCGGTCAGCTTTTACATCGGTCCGGCATGACCCCGTAAACTGTCCCGACATTAATTCCGGTCAGCTTTTACATCGGTCCGGCATGACCCCGTAAACTGTCCTGACACTGATTCCGGTTAGCTTCTACATCGGTCCGGCATGACCTCGTAAACTGTCCTGCTACAACGGTCTGACGTGACCATACAGTGTCTTCACCAACAGTCCGACACGACCATACAGTGTCTACTATCCTTTTTTATTTTATGTATTAGTTTATCTTCATGTTTTGTTCCTTTCCAAACTCAAGTTGGTTTTACCTATCCTCCTTGAGTTTGAGGGGGATGTTAGAATATATAATATATTATGTTAGTATAATATTATGTATATTATTATGTTTAGCTTTAGCTTTAATAATTAGTGTAGCTTTAGCTTTCATAATTAGCTTTCTTTAGCTTTATGCTTTCGGTGGCTCTCTCTCCAATGTATCACAGGCTATAAGAAGAGAGTTAGGCTCCCTTGTAAATCAATCTATGAAATACACATTTCATTTATTCACTTGTTCTCTCTCTCTATCAATTTATCTTACAAGAGCAAAGATGGAGCGATGGTGTCGTACAGACGAGCCTGGCCCAGAGATGACGGTTGCCGCGGATGATGGTTGGCCCAGAGATGACGGTTGCCGCGGATGATGGTTGCCCGTTGGATTGGAGTCCTCCAATTTGTTTATTTTATAATCATTGGCCTACCCCTCCAATTAACCAAATATAGTACAAATTAATTGTTGATTCGTGCCATACACGTATTTTTTTTTAAAAAATATTAAAAAGTATAATGTGTGTTATAAAAGAATAATTTTAATTTAAAATTAAAGTATA